TTTGTTTGTTGTTTAACGCCGCACGTATTCAAGCTATATGACGATCGTAGGTGTTGTTTGTAGAGTGTGGTACCTATTACGGGTAAAATGTGGCAGCTGTTACGGTAGAATGTGGCAACTGTTGTAAGTTGAATTGTGGTGACTGTGGCAGCTGTTGTAGTCTGATTGTGGGAGTTGTTCTCTGGAGAATGCGGCGGCTGTTGACAGTAGAATATGTCGGCTGTTGTAGGTGGAATGTTGTAGCTATTACGGGTAGATTTTGGCAGCTCTTATGGGTAGACTGGTCTAGCTATTACGGGTAGATTTTGTCATCTCTTGTGGGTAGACAGGTCTAGCAATGACGAGTAGATTTTGTCATCTCTTGTGGGTAGACTGGTCCAGCTGATACGGGTAGATTTTGACATCTATTGTCGGTAGACTGGACTAGCTATTACGGGTGGATTTTGGCAGTTATTCTTGGTAGAACGTGGCAGTTGTTATAGGTAGAATATGGCAGCTAGAAGACGCGTCAGCAACTTTCAGCCACATCGGTGGACGACAGATATGAAAAGGGGTGCGATTTGGGCCTTGCTGTGCCAGAGGGCGTCATGGCCTGCATGTAAGAATGAAGTATATGCGGGAATAGTGTTTAGTAGGCGCTCAGGCGTGTTGTCATTGGATGAATTGTGGATTGATATCCCCGAGTAAAAAAAAGCCCTGAACTGATTGCTCAAATTATTTTTTCTGGTAGCAGACTGTTGTTTAAAGAAGAAAAAATATTTGAAAAAAAACCCGCCTCTATAAAGACATTAAATACAATAGAGAATCTGATAAAAGACTCCTTTGATATCTAATATGCCAACATGACTCCACGCGAGTTAATTGAAGCAGAGAAGAGTTTGTTAACTTCTATTTTGAGAGATATATTTGATATCAAAAGACGCGAGAGCTTTTTTTCTTCAAAATAATTCCTTATCATGTTTTCAATAATATTTTAAAATCATGGGTCCATTTGGTATTTGAGACCATTTGAATTGTTTGCAGCGAATCAAAGCACGTGACAATTTTATTCTTTGAAACCTTTGAAAACTATGAATTCGAGGAACATGTTATGCTTGTGGCGGATTAAACCGGCTGAGCTAGAGTGATGACAACGCAGCAGCTTCACAATAAACTACGAAATAAATATTTTTGATGTTATTTTGCCTAAATAATGTCGTAAACTCGCTTTAAGAAAAGTTGTTTCCCCTTGGGTCGGGGGATATTGGAACGGAGTTCGTCCGTTCGTCCGTCCGTCCATCCGTCCATCCGTCCAGTTCTCAAAGGGGACATATTTTCTCAAAAACTTTTTAAGTCAGAGAAATGAAACTTTGCACTATGGTGTTACTGGTCATGATCTCAAATGAGTTCGAAAATTGACGTCGTAAATTTAATTTTTACAGGGTTATGACCCTTGCTTCGTGATATTCAACTTAGTGCATACGACGTGAAATGAGGACACGTTTTCTCAGATACTACTGGAGCTACAAGAATGAAACTTTGCAAGCTTATCTATGAGATACTTGTCAAGACTTTGTTCGAAAATTAGTCCTGTCAATTATATTTTTTATTTTACAGAGTTATGGCCCTTGCCCCGTGTTTTTCAACTTAGCGCATAGTGTGTGCAATGGGAACATGTTTTCTCAGAAACTACTGAAACTACAAGAATGAACGTTTGCACGCTTATCTTGGAGATACTTGTCAAGGCTGAGTTCGAAAGTTGGTCCCGTCAATTAATTGTTTACAGCGTTACGGCCTTCGACCGATGTTATTTGTGGAATGGGGCAAGTTTTCTCAGAAACAACTGAAGTTAGCTTATCTAAGAGATATTTATCAAGACTGAGTTATTTTGTCCAGAGAAAGGGCCTTTTGTGTGTATTAATGTCACGTTATATATCTCTTCTTCAGGCTTATTGGCTCTTTTGTATAGTTTATATTCACTATCATATGACCAAACTTCTAATGTGCCTCATGGCGGGGAATAGTGATAACGCTGCTTTCTTGTTTCGCATTAATATGGTGCGAACTCGCTTTTTTTAGATGCTATTTTGCCTTAATAAAGAGTAAAATCGCTTTTTAAATTGCTATCGCCGTAATATGGAGTACAATCGCTTATTTTGAAGGATGAGACGAGATAAAGGTCGACATATTTTGTGAAATGTGCAAAAGTTCTGTAAATCGTGTTTATACAATGAGGATTTAATCGTTTTGTCCATTCAACATTTAATTTATTACAACAAACGGCAAGACCAAAAAAGTGTTAAAATGTTTAGAGGATTTTATTTTTTTATTAAAATATGTACATGAGTAAGTTTTTGACCTAGGCAATGATGTAAATTAACGAGCAAAAGAAGGTATACACCCATGTTTGTTGGTGGCTGAAAAAGAAACAAACAAGACATTGTTATTCGAGTAGGATGTACTTGATACGGGCATCATAGATGTGTTTTGACTCTACAGTTTTGCAGTGTTTCGGCGACTGTTTTCAGCCCAGTAACGTTTTGAAAACGTTAGTACGGTTTTGGTCAATTCCAATTTTTAAGTGTTTGTTTTGGTTTGCGTGGCAGTTTAGGTAAAGATAACACAAACTTGTGGTGAACGTCCACTGACTACGGATTAGTTTCACTCATTTTACTTCTGTTCTTTATATTCATGGTCGGTCGGGTAGCCTAGTGGTTAATGCGTTCGCTCGCCACGCCGAAGACCCGGGTTCGATTCCCGACATGGGTACAATGTGTAAAGCCCATTTCTGGTGTCCCCCGCCGTGATTTTGGTGGAATATTGCTAAAAGCGGCGTAAAAAATACTCACTCACTATATTCATGGTAGATTGGAGCCCAACTCACCCAGCTTTTCTTGAAACTAAAATGAGATCTTGTATTGTATCTAGTACAATATAAGATATGTCTGAGTAAACTCTCTGGAAATGGTTCTGCAATACTCTGATATTGCAACATACTGATACCATTACACAAGAATAAGTGAGTGAGTTGGGTTTTACGCCGCTTTGAACAGTATTCTAATTATATCACGACGTGTCAGCTTAATGTGGGAGGAAAGCCCGAAGCGATGCAGGTCTCAGACGTTTACCACTTTGGTGAAACCCACGAGCACGGGAGACATGGTTGACTGTGTGGTTCGTTTCTTTTTCTACTCACCACCAATTCGCCTTGAGCAGACCCGATTTACAGTCACAATAGTACAGTTGCAATATTGGTCGCTGCGGCGCAAAACAACAATCTGCCAGCATGAGTGAGTGAGTGAGTGAGTGAGTGAGTGTTCCTGTACGCCGCTGTTAGCAATATCCCCGTAATAACACAACATGGGATTCTAGAAATTGGCTTCACAAAATTTACCCATGTAGGGAATCAAACCCGGGTCTTTCGGCGTGACGAGCTGACGCTTTAACCACTAGGCTACCCGACCGCCTCTTTATTAAGTTTGACATTTGACACAGATTTATGTGTTAAACCTTTTGAGCTTATAAGTCAATAAAGTTGAATAATATTCCAGGATGTGCACTCTGTAGTGATAAAAATATCATTGTTGAAAACAACTGTGATGCAGAGACCGTTACCCCTTATGGAAGAATGGACACTATGGAATCTTCATCTTGACTTTATAGACACAGATGGGATACAGAGAAATTTTAAAGCTATGGAACCATTTACTTGGATATAAGCATCGAAGTTGTTACGCGTTTTATGTCATGATTAGCTTATTATGGTATTGAATGAAATGACCAAGATCTATTTGATGATAACGAGGTTATTTTGTTATGATTTATATAAATATTATTCATCTTTCATTATCTAGTTCATTATCGGAATTACTGTGATGGGGAAATGATAGCAAAGAATGTGGCTATATGTAATCAAGGAATAAAAATATGTATGATGATATGGCATTATGGCAGATGGTTAGTCTTTTCGAGTGTCCCAGTTTAAAAAAAAATTGATTTTTGTTTAAAAGTTTGACAATTTAAAGTCTGCTATGGGTTATAACATTTTGCATTCAGCACCGCTTTGGGCCCCCGTGCATGGGGAGTTCGGATTAAAGAAGGTCCGCACCAGGCAGGTGACTTGGTTGACTACATGCCTGTAATATCAATCAATTGATCGTCTGGTCCAGACTCGATTATGTGCAAAATGCCATCATATAGCTGGAATATTGCCAAGTGCGGCGTAAAACAACAACCAACCATCTCATTACGCATTCTTATTCCAAGTTTAAATTCATTACTTGCACATTGAGAGATTATTACGAGGCTTTGTTTTTGGGCATCGCGTCTTTAAAGTATTAATAAGTAGTCACTCTTGTGGAACAATGAGAGTGACACACCGTTACAATCTTATTCCGTTTACAGAGAACTATTATATGCAGTGACTTTAAACATTAAATGAATCTTTGCAGCTGTCCATGTTTTATCGTTGTTAAAATGATATTGTTTAATCTAAGATTAAAGCGGCCCATTTCAGGCAAACTGTCAAATAAATAGCCGGGTTGATTTGTGTAATTATGTAAATCGTTTCAATGTAATTTGCCTAAGTGAAATCATCCATTTATTAGATTGCCTGGCGGCTTGAGGCCTCCGAGAAAAAACCTCGTTCCATACAGCGACTCAAGCATATGCAGTACTGTGTTCCGGAAAAGCAAATAAAATTTTCAGTTTTGTTTCATTTTAAATTTGGCACAGGCCCTTTTGGTTAGAACCTTCATGCATAACCCCCAGAACGTAAAAAAGCGAAATTAAGCCTCTGTTCTCCCCGCAGCAAATGGGTACCCGGTAGGATGCGATGGAAATGTGAATGCAAACGTTCTCGCTTCTTAAAAAAACGGGCAGCTTGTGTTGTATACATGTCATGGAGTTCAGAATGCAATGCTCACTGATCCATTAACCAGTGTGAGACTGTCATGCTCTTGTGACTATTGTTGTTATTATTATTGCTGACGACTTTGATCAAACGCGGATACACAAACATGATACTGAAAGACAGGTTTTATTGCAAATGTAGAAACATTTATATCTACTTTCACTTCAGTTTGTTTTACCATGGCAGATGATCCTGCATCTTTCCAGCTGGTCTCTAGAGTCTAGTGTCTATCGTCTTGTGTGTAGAGTCTATGGTCTACACTTTCTACACTGACCACCCCCAAGCCCCTATCCCCATGCGTGAACAATAATTGAAAAACGTCGCACAGACACTGTGTCTGTGCCTCCATCGTCCTTGTGGCCTGGCTAACTACGTGACTTGAAAAGTGTGCATCCGACGCAGACACCCAATCACCCTCAACTCACACCCCTCACGACCCTCTGCCCCCAACCGCAAGCTCCATTTGTCAGACACCTCATGACACAACCTGCCTCAGTTCCTTCTATCATGTGCTCTTGTTAATCATGTGCTCTTGTTAATCTTAACTTGGACTGTCCCCCATCCCCTCCACACACGCACGCACGCACGCACGCACGCACGCGCGCACGCACGCGCGCACGCACACACACAAACGCACACACACACAAACGCACTCCCCCTAACCCATACCTGTTTTTCAAAAGTTCCGTCTCTAGAGACATACATGTGTATAGTTTATAATTTAATGTAGATAGGGTTTTTGTGGAGTCTCGCAGGTATCAAACCAGTTTGTTATACTTGGATACGACTTCCGGTATCGGTCCAACTGATGCAACCTGGCGCAGATAGTGCACTCCCCCAAACCCCTCCCCCACACCCTGTACTGCGCGCGCCGCTTCAGGTACCCCAGGTATATCGCTGGGTTCTGTTCCAAGTATTTTAGATGCTTAGCCAGGTCACGTGGCGACCGGAAGTCGGCTGTGTTGAGAAACAAGTTTTTGGGGTAAATTTCGGCATAGTTCGCTTTGCCTCTCACAATAGGCACAATATTGTAAGAAAACGTCTTAAATAATTTCTCTGTCACATAGTCTTGGCAAAACAAACTTTCGAAGGATAGGTAAAACCTATACCGGTCATAACATCGACTGAGTTGGTTTCCTCCATTGTCTTCCATACATTTGGGCTTGCCACACTTTCCCACGATATCCACGTGAATGTACTTCTGGAGTTCCTCCACGTATTTCTCCCGCCGACTCCCCGAGTGACAGTTACTCACGAACCACAACACAGAGCGGGTCTTCCTCTTCATGACGTCATCCCAGTTATACGCGACCACGTCCTTCGGTTTCTTCAAAGCCAGGTCTCCATACGAGGCAACGAAGTCCGAGTTGCGCTGGTAGGTCAATGTCCAGTTGAAGACGGTGTCCCAGTCGCCGCCGGGAAATCGGGACGCATAGTTCGCCCATGGTTCTTTCGCGAAGAAGATCCATACCTGGTTCTGGCTAGTTCTGACTGGTTTTTCCTTGACTCTGTTCCTGGATAGAAGGAATGCATCCACAAGGATTGCGTCTGCTTCTGCGAGTCTGGTTTTATTGCTGCTTGTGATACACTGGTACCCACCACATGATATAACCCTCGGAGGCCTGTGCTTACGGTAGCTAGGGATCATATGCCATACTATTAATTTGGTTTCGCTGTCCTTTTTCCCGACGTAAAGTGAAGAATTTTGTTCTAGTTTTCGTAATTTAGGGAGGTTCTTCTGTACGTTTAGGCGGTCATGCTGAATACGTATGTTCTCTTTCATCCCAACCTCCGTGTCATTCTTCCTTTTCTCTTTGGCCCATAACTTGAGGAACTGTGGAGTGTTGTGAAGCTGTGGAGTTTGGGTTGGTTTGGGGGCATAACTTCTGTCCTTGAACCCCGAGTCCAAGAATTTTGCTGGCGTTATTGGCGGAAGTTGTGGGTAGAACCACAGATAGCGGGACACAACCAACAGTGACAGCGATGCTACTGTTATCAGTAGTGCGGTCTTCACTAACCTGCAATAGATGGAGATAATTTAATGAGTGAGTGAGTTAGTTTGGTTTAAGGTCGCTGTGAACAACATTTCAGATATATCACAGCGTGGTCTTGGTGAAAAGCTCGAAGTGACACAGGTCTTAGACGTGTATCACTTTATTGAAAGGCCCCTGGGACGGCTAGGGTGCAGACAAACCTAGAAACATAATCTGGGTGAATCTGGGATTCAAACCCACGACCATAGGTTTCTGGCACAAAACCCAGCCCCTGGCGATACTTTAATTGGCAATCAATCAGTATATGTTAAGCATATTATAAATAGTGATATATTAACTCAAATTAACAAGACAATTATATTCCTCGACTACCAGGTATAGGTTGCATGGAAAAGATATAATTATGATCCTGTGTCCACGTGGGACAAACAGGAAACTGTGCTTGAAGATCTTTGTTTCGTTTGTTTAACGTCGCACTTAGCAATATTGCAGCTATATGACGGCGGTTTTAGACAAAACAATCCAGTGACTGACATCATGATCCATACAATTGGGATATGATGACATGCATCAACTAAGTCAGCGAGCCTGACCACCCGATCCCGTAGACGAACGGTTTCAACCGCGTACAAGAGAACTAGAAGTCGATACAATGTCAGGTTATCAGTGAAAGAATGAAGTTGTTTTCAACCACATGGCTTGTTTTTTTTGTCCAAGATGAGTTTAAGTCATTCAGAAATATTGTAAAGAGAAGTTGAGGCCACATTCTCACCTTGCCTAACCCCAGACAGACATGAGAAGAAATCTGAGTTATCGTTTTGTACCATAGCACAGATATAATATCTTTGTACATGTTTTGTATAAAAGTAAATGTGTTCCCTTTCACGCCAGTACTTCTCAATTTGCGACAACGTAGGGAAGTGTCTGTGTGTGCGAAACGGAGGACACTATCTAATCCATGGTGGGCGGGTCCCTGGATCTCGCCTTCAATCACACAAGTAATAGAACGAACCATAAAACGACGACGCACGTCAGGATTGCGGGAAGATCAACAAGATTCGTTCTTGTTACACATCAAGGATCCAATTCATCTGTCGAAAACTGTTTGTGTCTTTTGGCGTAGTATATCCACATTGAAAGAGAATGTGTCATATCTACAAACACATATTATACCGGCTGGGTGTGTCTGTGTCTGCATCGACACAGTGTATTCACGCTTGGTGTGACAGATTGAAATTGGACATTTTGATAGCCTGAGCAGTGATTATGGACTGTAAATTAGACCAACTCTGTATAAGACCCAACTTTCCCTTAGTCTAGTAACAGTGTATGTTCAAGTAAATTGATCTAATAAGAAATTGTAATGCTTAATCATTCCATATGTATAATGAGATACAGTTAACAACGGAAGACGATTTCTAACATATCTACGTGTATTGATGAACAAATTAAATTATTACAAGAAACTATTATTCAAAAGAGTTAAAGGACTAAAAGAAATTTTGACTCTTGAGGATCTCTCATCACCAACCTGTTTCTGCATGGTCCAGTAGAAAAAGGGCATACTGTTGGAATAGACAATATATAACGTAGTAAGAAAATAGAAATTATTTAAAATCTATGACAAAGTTTGTTTTTTCTAAGCAGGTCCCGATTTTAAATTTGTACATTGTAAAGCTTCTATGTTGGGTTCGACATTAGAAAACTCCCCAAACGCCCAGTGAAGATGGAGTTTGTTATCGCCTGTGTCCCTGACACTGATGGCGCCACTCGGTTACATATGATTAGACCCGTGAAGATTCCGGGGTAGAATAGGTCTTCAGCAACCCATGCTTGTCGTAAAAGGCGACTAACGGGATCGGGTGGTCTGGCTCGCTGGCTTGGTTGATGCATGTCATCGATCCCAATTGCGTGGATCGATGCTCATGATATCAATCACTGGATTGTCTGGTCCAGACTCGATTATTTACAGACCGCCGTCATATAGCTGGAATATTGCTGAGTGTGGCGTTATACAACAAACCAACCAACCAACCAACAACATATGATTAGTGTGCAACTTGCTCCGACACAATGGGTAAGTATATATTTCGGCAATATCACGGCGAGGCACACTAGAAATGGGATTCACTTTTTTCCCATGTGGGGAATCGAACCCGAATCGACGAGCAAACACTTAAACCACTAGGCAACCCCACCGCCCCCAGACACAATGAAAAAAAGGATGGAAAACAAATGTTGAATGTTAAGGAGGGGACGATAACTCCCAACACGGAAAATCATAAACAGGCGGATTGCGGAAGTTTCTAATTGTCACACGAGTGTAATTACCACATGTAATCTCCTTGTATGCACCATACGTAAATGGCAAACGCCAAAACAATCAAACATGGTTCATTAATGATCATGAACTAACACTCAAAATGTACACACACATTTAACTTTAATCACCACACAGATATTTTCGCTTGAGGGTTGAACATATTAAACATTGTGTTGTTTTGGCCACAGTGAACGGAAATTCTCTACTCCTGTGTTAAAACTGTTTCTTCTGCAGCGTTTGTTTTGGGGTCAGTGCGTGGATATGGATATACGCCGCATTAGGAAACATTCCTGCCATACATCGAATGGCTATCTATATTTGCTCCAGGTTACAGGTTCGCACCGTAGTCATATATACAGTATAGATCATCAAACCGAATCTTAGCCTGACAAGATAATGCATCAACTGATATATACTGCATCGTTAGAAATTGGCACTAGTCCTGTAGTCCTTACCAAACTGCCCAATAGTAAAGGTATCCTAAGGACTAGTAGAAATTGGCCCACTTTAAGGGTTTTGCTATATGTTATCATTGTAAGGACTAGTGGACAAAAACTGTTAGTTTCTAACCCTGCTATTATAGGCTAGCCGACGAGGGCCCCTGTACAACCATCACTCGTTCCCGAGAGTTTTACTTTTATATTATTTAATATTTGTTGAAAAACACAACGATTATTTATTTGACTCTTGTTTACAGCTTAATAGACAATATGGGAAATATGTCATGTGATACTTAGAGGTTATCACGCGAGTGTGTTAGGGGATGGTAACTATCCTGTATTAGGACTAAATATTGTATTTAGCGAGTCATGGCGAGCATAGTGTTTATTCCTATAGTGTTTATTCCTAATACAGGATATTTACCATCTCCAAACACACAAGCGTGATAACCTCTTCATCATATAATCCCATTCTTCAATTCTGTGCTCGAAACTCTCTTCCCATCTCTCACAAACATTACCTAAACGTTGCAAGGTTTCCTGGAATGTGCGCATTAATGTATATTACGTCAGAAGGTAAGTCAACAGTCAATACAGTTCAATCTGAAACCTGTTTCTTATACAGTAGAGTAACTATATACAGGCAAAACAACAATTGCCTTCACATTTGTTTCTACTTACCTTTCGCCGCAATCCATCGGTCTGTCCGATAGAGTAACTGTCCTTTATCAAAGGGAAGCTACTCTCACCCTAGTCTATGAAACGTCACGTTTGTTTAGAGTCTGCCTGTCCGGTCAAAACGTTACGAAGTGCAGTCAGATGTACACACAGCGACAAAACGAAACAAGGTAACAATTCGTACATATTTCGGCCAAATCCAACTGTTTTAATTTGGGTAAAAGGTTCCAAGCCGCAGAGGTCTACAAGCAAAGATATGGAAACTGCTACTGGCGCTAGGCTAGACTTAGTGTCCTCGTTAATTTGTTTCGCAATTTATATCTACAAAGATGCCAAAACTTAAATGCCTTAGCTGCGTTACAGTTAGACACTGAGGTTCAGTATATCAGACTATTCATTTGATAATGGCAGAAATTATCCCAGTAGTTTATCCAGATTCCCTATCGCCGATTGACAAGGGCCATGTTTGTTTGTAAACACCGAAAGTAGTCCCTACGTGACCTTTGATATTTGCACGTGACCCCAACAGATAACGTTTTTATCCGTTGGCTATATCCTGCCGAGAAACTTACCCATTATATAATAACAACGCTTTACCAGCTTTATGTACAAGGCAAGGGGCAGCCTAGTGGTTAAAGCGTTCGCTCGGCACACCGAAGGCCCGGGTTCGATTCCCCACATGGGTAAAATGTGTGACGAACCTTTCTGTTGTCCTCCGACGTGATATTGCGGAATATTTCGAATATTTCGGCGTAAAACCATACTCACTTACTCACTCACTCATAAGGCATAGTTCATATGTCACCACGTGACCTGGTGTTATGATGACACACAGTTTACTTTTTCCTGTTTGACCCTGGTTTCAAATTCGGATATTGAAACAATGCAATGTGATTAATTGTGACTCTGGGCCATTTAGTCGCACTTCATGCCACCCACAAAGCAAAATAGTGATAGAGTATGCGCCAAGAGCACTGACAGGAACTGAAGAGAACCATTCCGCTACAGAGAAAGAGTGTCTTGCCATTGTGTGGGCGCTGTACAAGTTTCCTGTTTCCCTTGAGGGAAACCAGTTTACAGTTATTGCAGTTTACATCGTTTGAGTTTACCGGCGACTTAAGTCTAAGCTGACACCAATAACGAAAATTTCGACAGATCATCGTACAGGTAGCTTAGTCAATTATGTTATAAAAAACCGTCTGCTTTTATAGTGAAAATGATATGTCAGGGTGCATGAAAATGAGATACTTGGATGCATGGATCGCAATCGATGTGCATAACAGATTCATTAAAAACTAATACAAGGTATTTAGATGTATTTTTGGCCGTCTGTCCGACTGTCGTACTCTGTACAGTACGTGTTAAACGTGTTGGAGTGTTCAGGTTTCATTGTTATATCACAATGACACTCATATATGACACGCCTATGACACACGGTGAGAGATCTATAGTCAATATTTTACTTTAATTTAAATAAGATGGACATACAGTGAATGAGTATGGTTTTACGCCGCATTTAGCAATATTCCAGCACTCTCACGGCGGGGGACACAAGAAATAGGCTTCACATATTGTATCCATGTTGGTAATCGAACCCGTGTCTTCGGCGTGACGAACGAACGCTTTAACCACTAAGCTACCCCACCGCCCACATGGAAATTGAAGTATATGTGGCTAATGCAGACGCGAATATGTTTACCCGATTGACCTCAATTCACTCACTCACTCCAACCTTATGACACATTGGTCATGAAACTTACATGCTATTATTGAGAAACAAACGTGAGTGATTGGCTGGGGTTTAACGCTGATTTGAACATTATTTCAGTTTTATCACGGCGTGTTTGTTTAATATTGGTTGAAAGCCACAGTTTTTTGTATTTCCTTAACGTTTACCCATCAGGACTCACTCACTCACTCACTCACTCACTCACTCACTCACTCTCCCACCCACCCCTCACTCACTCACTCACTCACTCACTCACTCACTCACTCACTCACTCTCCCACCCACCCACCACTCACTCACTCACTCATTCACTCACTCACTCACTCACTCACTCACTCACTCACTCACTCACTCACTCACTCACTCACTCATTCACTCACCCACCCACCCACCACTCACTCACTCACTCACTCACTCACTCACTCAATCACTCACTCACTCTCCCACCCACCCACCCACCCACCACTCACTCACTCACTCACTCACTCACTCACTCAATCACTCACTCACTTCTCCAAACAAACTTCCAGTATACGCTATAAACAGTTGAATACATTTCTACAATCTGTTGAAAACATTTGATCATATCGACTTTTAAAACCAACACACAATTCACAGTCGACTGGTTCCGTTGATTCATGGGTCAAATTAAATCTTATCAACCAAGGACAGCATGTTCAAAATTGACCGCTCATGTCCGGGGCAGTTGGTATAATGCCCGTTATGTAAGCGAATCTCCCAAGAATGCCCTATGTTTATAACGTGTAGAGTTAAATACTTAACCACACTAAACATGGCGGCGACGACCATACATAAAACTCTTTCGACAGTGCATAGCAGGAGCTATCAGAGCATGTTACGGCACGCCCAAACAAGACTTGCTGCCAGTCGTTTAACACAAAGGCAAAAGTTAACTGCTAATTAAAGGTTGTTACATACACTTAACGTCGCGACAGTGACACCACAAAGTTAATGCTAACACCAGTAGAAATATGCATGAAGTAGGACGATCAGAAACACTGACTGCCACCCAAACTGACACCCCTTCAATATATCAATTATCGAACAGTTACACTGATCAATAGCAATTGAAAAGGTTAGTGTCAACAAGACACAATAAAATAGTTGTACAAGTTAGTACAATAGTCGTCAGTAAGGTTATTATTTTAAAAGAACTTACCGAAGCCCGTACATCCAGTAATTACATCTTCCTGCTTGGGCCATCACCCACACTCTCAGCATATCGGTTCCCCCTTTCACGCTAGGGTGTTTTCTTTAGGAAAAGCAGGTCACCCCAACATGTACGCGGAGGGGGGACGATTTTGAACAGACCCACAGACAGGCCAAGTTGTTTCTGTATCGTGAATATATATTAGAATTAGTCCTTTCTGCTCTATATCCGAGCTGTGTTGTTGCTGTATAGGGCAGATTGTACTCGTGTCCATTGGTATATGAAAAGGGTCCCGTTAAAGTTATTGCAACGCTTGACTAACTTACTATTGCTGACTGTATTGCCTTATATTGGGGGCATAACCGATACCACCATACTATTAAATTGTTCATTCGGGCATAACATTCCTTTAACACATAGGATATGTTTCAAAGAGACTGCATCATTATTATAAGCGTTTTTGGGCAGCATGTCAAACGGGAGTGACATTTATTAAAACCACGTTGGGTTAATTTACTCGTTAGGTTGTAAATTAATTTTCGGAAATGTTTTTTGTTAAATGAAACGAGGATATCCATTTGATATTTCTTATATTGGCTGACATGCACTTACACATGGACTAAACGAACTATTTGGATCTGGGGAAGGCAATTATGAGTTATGCCCCTTCGCCATACCAGGATAAAGTGGTCGGGGTAGAATCTTAGCTTTGCTTCTACTATGCTCGTCGGTCTGCCTTAAACGTCCACCTCATTTTAAAAACATTGTTCAAAATTAGCATTTAACCCAACCCACTCACTCACACTGTAAAAATGTGTTAAGATTCTAAACACAAACCTAAGAGCGTACCTCGCCCAATCCTTTAGGATGTTCAACAGTTAAACGTGTTTAGGTTGTAAATGTGGGAAAGACCCGTACCCGTACTCCACAGCCACGACCACACCCCCTACCACACACACACACACACACACACACACACACACACACACACACACACACACACACACACACACACACACACACACACATATGCTCAATGATATGCACTTTATTTAAACATGTTCAAATTATTAGGATAGTAGTTCATACCCAATGATATGCACTTTGTCGAAAACATGTTTAGATCATGGGGATGTTGTGTTTAGGTGGTGTTTAGGTTCTGAGAAGTTAGCTCATTCCACGTGTTAAGACCCTAATCATGTTTAGATGGAACGCACCAGAAATGTATTCCGTTTAGGATTCAAACACATTCCTCAACATGTTTAGATCTGAACATATCTAGTAAAGGTTTACACTTTTTTTTTATAAACATACAGTCCATGGACAGTACTTTTTGGGCCCTGTTCTTATAGAAGCTTCGTTTCCTGTGCTCTTTTGACCTGGGACGTTGGTTCTTCACGCTGATGGTCCGTGTCCAAGTCCCACATGAGAAGTCATAGCTGATGTCCCCCGTCCTGATATTGATGGAGCAATGCTAAAAGCGGCGTAATACCCACGTCACTCTCGCCAGCTACATATATATCGGGGCGGTCGGGTAGCCTAGTGGTTAAGGCGTTCGCTCGTCACGCCGAAGACCCAGGTCCGATTCCCGACATGATAACAATGTGTGAAGCCCATTTCTGGTGTCCCCCGCCGTGATATTGCGGGAATATTTCTAAAAACGGCGTAAAACCATACTCACTCACTCACTCACTCACATATATATGTCGTGCAGCACAGCAAAACTCTCATAACATCGGACAGGAATTCATATGAGGATAGGTTTGTAGATGTAATGTCAATGTGTTGCTGATTGCATGTTATTGTACACGGCCGTTTGGCTCGTTTTAGTATGCTTCAACCACTTGCTTTTCTAACCATTAATTAAACAATATACAAATCGTTGGTAGTTTTCTTTTACTCGCATCCCGCGGGGAGACCAGAAAATCAGAATTAAGCATACTTTAAAACTGGCGAGTTATACAATCACAGTTACTTATAGCTCCAAACCTTGTACTATAGAACTTCCGTCTATCCAAAGCGCGACGCGAAACCGGATTAGAATTGACCCCCAAACTGTGCTGGTCGTAAGAGGCGACTAAAGGGATCGGATGGTCAAGCTCGGTGACCTCATTGTACCCCGACGGCTCACGATACCAATCACTCGATTGTCTGGTTCAGACTGGATTATTTACAGGCCGCCGTCATATAGATATATATTAGTATATTAGTCTGCACTGTATATATTAGTCTGTCGTCACAAGTCTTTATTTAAAGATCTATCCATGACAGTTTTTTTAACAAGAAAGGACACTGGTAGTTATGTATCTCAGAAAAAGTAAAGTACATTATGTCTGATAATGAGAAGGTGTCGTGTAGTGTGTATGTAGTAACGAATAGTCTTCGCACTGGAACGATAATCAGTTTTGCACATTGCTCTAGATTTTTTGTCATGCCCAAAATTGTTTGATAAAATTTGTTTTTAAATGCAACTTTGAATTCATGACTCACTCGTGTATATATGAACCTTTTCTCGTCGCTATATGGCTGAAATACAGCCGATGCGACGTTATCCTTTACTCACTCCCTCACTCACTTATAAATTTTTGAATAAATGATGCCAAGAAGACAAAAAACGCATAAATTGTGTTGATTTAAAAGCGGAATTTGCAAGATAGTTGTCGATGAGGGGCGCTTCCTATATTTTTCGTTAATCGAAAGTAGGCTCACCACTGAAATATGTTCTGTTAAAAATACTTTATTTAGTCAGTTTTGACCAAGGTCAATACATATCTTCTTCTTTCTGGATGTCTACCACAATAATGTGCACGTGAAAGATATATGACAGTAGGTTACACGCATGACGTGACAAAATGACGACGTTGTCTGTGACATCCATTCATACGTAATGTCAGCCGTTGCATGTATTTGCGACGGAAGTATATAACCCCACAACCGCTAATGATCCATCAAGTGCACTGACAAGACACTCCACTGTTGTGTCCTCGCCATCTGTCTCCCTGTGTGATGGCCGCATCCTACACCAGCACGTGCTCGCTCGTCTCCGGGGCAGGTCACGTGCAAACCGGAAGTGTACATGACCCGTCATCCATTAATCCAAATATCCGGTGTAGATGCGGGCGAACGGATGCATTTAAGAAAATATATCATTGAACTGAATATATCGCCAATTAACTGCTAATTAGAGATGTTATCAAATGCACGAATGGTAGTCGCAAGTATTGTTGGAACATTACCCGTGCTGTTGTGGCCTATTGTCATGGAGACATATGTATCTCAATACCAAAAAATGAAACCCGTCATGAAATTCCTGTCATATGTTAATCAAAATACTATTCAAAGTGGCGTAGAACACAAAACGCTCACTTAATGTACCATACAGATCACAGACAAACGCTTAGTCACTGAAAAGGTATAATTTGGACAGAAACGAAACAGAAAGGCGTTTCAGTGATATGTTGTGATTGAACCTGTGGAAAATCTAATTTGCTTCATTTAGAGCTGTAGCATTTGGGTAAAGGCCGGGTGGAAGGGAAAATAATATGTTTCAGGGACTGTGAGACATGCAGGTCCCTGCTAGCCGAGGTGGTCGGTGTGTGTCATCACATGCTGCCATGCATGGTCGTATTCACACATGACATCAATATATTGTAGACGTGGCGTCACTTTGACATCTATATAACACTAATATGACATCACCATGGTATCTTTATAACAGTGACGTGTCATTTTTATATAACTCTGACATGCTTCACATGGAATTTATATAACATCGACATTTAACCCCCATGACATACACATGACCTCATTATAACATACACGTGAACACGACAAGAACATGACATACACGTGAGGCCGAAAGGGCTTCTCGATATTTATGTTACTATGCCCGAGGAGGACCTTGAAATATAGTTTCTCTTGCCCGAGGAGGACCTTGGTATTTATGTTACTGTGCCCGAGAAAGACCTTGATATTTATGTTACAGTGCCCGAGAAAGACCTTGATATTTATGTTACAGTGCCCGAGTAAGACCTTGATATTTATGCTACAGTGCCCGAGGAAGACCTTGATATTCATGTCACAGTGCCGAGACCTTGATATTTATGTTACAGAGTCCGATTAAGACCTTGATATGTATTTTAAAGTGCCCGAGGAAGACCTTGGTATTTATGTTACAGTGCCCGAGGAAGGCCTTGATATTTATGTTATAGTGCCCGAGGAAAACCTTGATATTTATGGTACAGTGCCTGAGAAAGACCTCGATATTTATGTTACAGTGCCCGAGGAAGACCTTGATATGTATTTTACAGTGCCCGAGTTGGACCTTGATATTTATGTTACAATGCCCGAGTAAGACCTTGATATTTATGCTACAGTGCCCGACTAATACCTTGATATTCATGTCACAGTGCCCGAGGAAGACCTTGATATTTATGTTCCAATGCCCGAGTTAGACCTTGATATTTATGTTACAGTGCCCGAGTTAGACCTTGATATTTATGCTACAGTGCCCGAGGAAGACCTTGATATTCATGTCACAGTGCCGAGACCTTGATATTTATGTTCCAGTGCCCGAGTTAGACCCTGATATTTATGTTACAGTGCCCGAGTAAGACCTTGATATTTGCTACAGTGCCCGAGGAAGACCTTGATATTCATGTCACAGTGCCGAGACCTTGATATTTATGTTCCAATGCCCGACTTAGACCTTGATATTTATGTTACAGTGCCCGAGGAAGACCTTGATATTCATGTCACAGTGCCGAGACCTTGATATTTATGTTACAGAGTCCGATTAAGAACTTGATATGTATTTAAAGTGCCCGAGGAAGACCTTGATATTTATGTTATAGTGCCCGAGGAAGACCTTGATATTTATGCTACAATATGCTACGTGAGGCCGAAAGGGCTTCTCGATATTTATGTTACTATGCCCGAGGAGGACCTTGAAATATAGTTTCTCTTGCCCGAGGAGGACCTTGGTATTTATGTTACTGTGCCCGAGAAAGACCTTGATATTTATGTTACAGTGCCCGAGAAAGACCTTGATATTTATGTTACAGTGCCCGAGTAAGACCTTGATATTTATGCTACAGTGCCCGAGGAAGACCTTGATATTCATGTCACAGTGCCGAGACCTTGATATTTATGTTACAGAGTCCGATTAAGACCTTGATATGTATTTAAAGTGCCCGAGGAAGACCTTGATATTTATGTTACAGTGCCCGAGGAAGACCTTGATATTTATGCTACAATGTCCGAAGAAGACCTTGCTATTTATGTTACAGTGCCTGGG